CCCAACCATGGTTCCCTTATCTAAGGAGATGTCAGTGGACTATTCCCTACTCTTACCCACCTTCTACAACCCCCTCAGGGACCCTTCAGGCAACTTCCATCCACTAGCACTACAAGGCCACCTTCCGTTAGTGGCCTGGCCAATTTCAGGGGATCCTGTAACGTCTTTGGCCTTTCGGCTGCTGCTCGAGGACTACTATGGGACTCTTGGGCCCCAGGAACAAGACGCTCTTATCTCACAGCGTGGCAACATTGGAATAGCTGGTGCTTGGAGAGAGGCGTCGATCCATTTTCAGCCTCTTTGATTAACATTATGAACTTCCTGGCATCACTCTTTGAATTTTACATCTGTGGGCTCCCTAACGGAGATCCTCACCTCCGCAGATTGGTCCAGAGAATCCACCTTCAGAACCTTCTATTTTAGACAATCTCCTCATGTATCTAATTCCATCATATCATCGCTTTAAAACAGCAAATATGAAGCCTCCTGTCTTGCCATAAAATTCGGGATTATTCTAACCTTAGTGACCGAATAATCTAAATTTTATTAAAGACAGGAGGCAAATATTTTCCCGCCCGTTAATACACGGACCCAACCGAACTAGGTAAGTATTCCACAAAACCTCTATTGACTAAACCAATATTTTAACCTCCTGTCTTTAATAAAATTTAGATTATTCGGTCACTAAGGTTAGAATAATCCTGAATTTTTGCCGCCCTATAAATAAAAAATTTGCCACCATATTTGCACCACAGTGGTCCTGTAGGTTTAACCCCACAAGATAAAACATTGCCTTACCTTAAAGGGTACACACTGACAGCCACTAGAGACACCTCTGCTAGAATGCCATGTTTAGTTAAATGAAGCGTTGAAAGTGCATAGCGAATGCCACTTATGCACATCAAGTCCCCAATGCTCGTGTACATTGAATTGGACCAGTGTTGCCCCATCAGTGACATTGAGCGAAGTAAGGGGACAAGTAGTGCAGAGGGAGTCGGTGCATGATAAATGTAGTTTCCACCTTTTAAAAATATTTTTTATGGGGCGGGGCTTGAAGTTATGTAGGGACAGATACACTGTAGTAATTGGAGGAATACTGGTGTATATTCCAAACACTATAATGTTCCTTTAAAATTATTCATTTATTGATTTA